CGGGCAGGCGGCATCAAAAGTGGGATCGCACGTCCGATCCGCCTGCGTGCACGTGTAGACTGTAAGGGACGCAAGACCCTTACGAGCCCCTACAAGCTCACCAGCAAACGAGCGAAGCTTCACGAGCATGGAGCCGGTTAGGCCCATGGCCCCAGCCCCATGGCTTCCAGACGGCACGACACCGGCACGCCACAGCGCCCGGACCTTCAAACCTCCAGCCCGCTTCCAGGCACGAAGCCTGCCACGGCGCCCCAAGACCGCGCCCAAACGCTTTCGCTCCCAGGCCCCGTGGGCGGCGCCGCCCGCAAGAGAATCGCGCCCGAGGTTCCGTGCAGAGCGAAGAGCGGAAAGCTCGAGCATCCCCGCTCGTGCCTTGACCGCGCGCGCAGCCTCGCGAGATGAGGCCAAAAAGCCAAACTTTGCATGTTGCAGTCGGAACCCCAGGGCACGCGCGCCCCGAACAAACGCCGAGACCGCATTCAAGATGATCCCAGCACGATTGGGCTGCCGACCAATCCGCTGGAACGAGACATCGCCCATCAACCCCCGGGGGATCACAAATTGAAGCTCATGCCGAATTCCCTGGAGCGGCCGAAAGAGAATTACCTGCATCAGAGTCGTCGCATGGCAGCAGCCGGCCAAAATCCCCTGGTAAGAAACAAAGGCTTTACTGACCGAGCCGAAGCCTTTAATGCGACGAGGCTGATGATACACGCATAGTATCATCCACGCAAGACGCACAGGGTAGCCTACCGCCACCGCCTCGGCCATCACGGCCGATGGGATATCATCCCATAGCATTTGATCATATCTAACAGAACTGACACACGATGCTGGTCAGTGTGCTGGGTCACCTCGGCCTCTAAATTGTGCGAAGAGGCGCAGTCTACGCTGCTGCGTCCAGGGCTGGAGCCCCAAAGAAGATCACTCCGCACTCGACGGACACCTGGCGACGAAGCCTCCCCCACACCCGAATCAGGGCATGCAGCAAGGCAATCAATCGGCGTTCGCCGGGCTCGTCTGGCTTGGGCAGCCGAACGAGCTCCGTCGAGATCCGAGCCGCGGGCCACACGCAGCGGAGCTCGCACCGCATAGAAAGGAGCGCGAGAGAGCGCATGGCTGCATCGCGCAGGCGCAGGAGGCCGCGCGGAGCCAGGCGCATCGGGCCCACGGCCGTACGCCCATGAAAGCTCAGCACGGCAGCTCGCACCTCGGCGGCCCCAAGGGCAGGAAGCAGAGGCCATTTGTCGGCACCAGGGGGGAGCTCCAGCCGCTCGCACCCGCGGGCCTTCCAGACCCGGGCCCAATCATCCAGGCAATCGTCGGCCAGCAGGTACGGCTGCTCGCCTGACCGAACGGATACAGCAGCCTGCAGCGCCCGCGCTTTGCTATAGCGATGGGCCTTGCTGGCGCCATTGACAAAACTGGCCGCAACCCATTCGTTCCAGCTCTTATGGCGTTCCTTGGCGAAGGCAGACGCATTGCCACTGGCCTGGTCGAGCACCCAATCCACCATGCCATCAAAGTGGTCGTCGGCCAGCGCGAGCATACGCTGGCCAAAAACACGAACGGCGGGGTCGACAGCCTTGAACGCCCACTCCTTCTTGAGCAGCCGGTTGAAGAAGGCCCCCGCGTCGCGCAACAGGACCGCGACCTTCGTCAGTGCCACAGGGCCCCGCTGACCATCGGGCCCCGTTTGCCTCGACAGCTCAGGGGCCCCGGTCGTCAGGCAGGTTCGCACTCGGCGCGAGTGGCGCACCCAGCCTGCCGCAATGGCCCACGCGTCAGTGGTGGTACCTCTGGTGGGCGGCCTCTGCCTGGGAGGCTTCCAGGTGCACTGCATCCATCGCCACCGCCGCGGCCCTGCGCGGCCGATCTGTTTCCACGCCGCTCTGCCCACAACGTCGCAACGGCCACGCAGCTCCCACTCGACCAGCTGCGCGACGTCGCCCCGCACTTGCGAGAGCTCGGCGTCGGAAACGGCCAAATCAATATGGCTCTGGACTGGGCCCCTCTCGCACGGGCAGCGGCTGCAGCTGGGGGGGCCTTCGCCTCGAAGGCGCGGGGCCCCCAGGGCACGCAGCGCCGCAAGGCGCGATCCGAGCCCGCGACCTCCAGGGCAACGGGGCGGCGCGGAAAGGCGCCGGCAACCTCGTCAACCGCGACGCCCCCGATGCGCGAAATCAAACCAGCCTCCACCGCAAAGCAATCATAAGAATGGCCAGGCAAGGTCTGCCTGCATGCGGTGGCATCGCCCGACACCAGGGCTCCGTCAACGGAGTTGAGCCACGGCTGAATCACGGGCGGCCCCACGTCGAAGTCGCCGCCACAATCCACGTGTAACCCCGGCAAGACATGTCCAAGAGGAAGTACCCCACCTCTCGCAGAATGGCCAGGTTGGCCGCGTCGAGCCCGATGGAGTCGCGGAGGTAGACCGACACGCAGATGATGCCTCCTGCAGCTGCCCGGCACGCGCGGCCCGCGACCGCGCAGCCCTGCGCCAACACGCCTGACGCGAGCCCACGGAGGAGCGACATCTGGAAGGCCTGCCCCGCGAACGCGGCCGAAAGCATTCCTCCCCCTGGGGGCGGGGAGGCGCGCGACGAGACGAAGGCAGGAATGACGACCCCGTCGACGCAGAAGCCCCAGCCGACGTCGCAGGCCCATTTGTTGCAGAAGCCGCTGCCGAGGTGGAAGACCCAGACGTCGCGCTGCGCCGGCGGCCAGCGAACGCGCCTGCAAGCCCCCCGCGAGCCCACAACCCGACACTACCAAGAGTGCGCCCGCAGTCTGCAGTCGACGCAGGCCGTGGACAGCCGACCTGGCCGACCCCTCCATTGCAGCTGGAGGCCGACGCCGTCGCGATGGAGGCCAGCAGAATGAGGCAGCTAAGAAGCCGCCCTGGGCCGCTTTGCGAACGAGGAGAGGCCTTCGCCCAGCCGCTTGGCCGTCTTGCGGAGCTCGTCCTCGTCCATCGGCACTGCCGCGCCCATGGCCTCCAGGAAAGCCTTGAGTACCTCCGAGTCGTCGACGCTTGTGGGGATCCAGCTGGCGCCAACCTCGGGGCCAGACTCGGGGCCGGCCTCGGCCCCGCGACCAGCCCCGGGAGGGGCGCCCCCAGGAGGAGCACCGCCAGCGGGAGCCGCTTCAAGCGCAGGCTGCGGAGCTGGAGGGGGGGCGCGCGCCTGCCGGCGTGCTGCCTCAGCCTCGCGGTCGGCCTTAGCCTTGACAGCGGCCTGACGCACCCTGTCCACCACCGACGCCAATTCGCGCGCGAGGTCCCCGCCGGCACCGAAGCCGGTGACCACCTGCTCCAACTGGGCCGCCGACATCTGCGCTGAGGGGAGGACCGCGCTGAGCGACGCCTCCGCCCCGTCGACCACGGTGGTTGGCTGAGGGAAGTGGGCCGCCACGAGCGCGCGCTGCGCTTCGAGGTCGGCCAGCTCCACCTTGACGTCGGCCAGCCCCCGA